CAGTGCCCGCCTCTGCTGGCACGGCCCCACAGGTAAGCGGCAGTGGTCGCCGCTTGTGAGCCCCCCCGCCCCCCATCCCTCACTGCCACTGCAGAACTGGCCATGGAGCTGTGCAGCTGGCCGCATGTGAGCCTCCCCTTTCCCTGGGCAGCAGGCCAGGCAGCATGCGCTTCCTGCATTGCTTGCCTGCAAAGCCCCCCACAGAGGGGCACCCCTGCCCTCACCCCCTGGCCCTGCACCTAGCTGTGGTGTGCCACCTGGTGTCAGCAACACCCCCCGCTCCCCCACAGCCCCACTTACCTCTAGGATCCAGGGGTGAAGGGCAAGCCTGAGCCAGAGCCTGAGCCCAGCCTTGGCTGACTCAGAGGCTCAGGCCCTGCCCTTCCCCCTCTCCCTCCTCCTTAGGGTAGGGCTGGTGATTTTCCGCCCTTTCTGCAATCAGCTCTTGCAGGCTGGAACAAGCCTGCAAGAGAATCCACGGATTTCTCTGCTAAAATGGGAAATCTGCGTTTTCTCCAATAAAAACACGGAATCCATGGTTTTCTGTTTTTCCATGGGAAATGGAAAACCCGGATCCCTGGTCATAACCCAAGGAGGAGAAAAAGGATTTAGATAGCACTGAACTGAGCACGCTAGGATTATTAAATGTGTTTGGACAGGACATGCTAGGCAAAAAAAGCGAGGAAATCAGAATAATTCCCTAAGGAAGAGCTGTTAGTGACTTTATGTACAATAACTAAAATCTGGAACACACTTCCAACAGAGGTGATGCAATTGCCATCCCTGGCAGTTTTCAAGGAGGCTGGACAGGCACCTCGTTGAGCTCATTTGAGCCTAATTACCTCCTGCCCATAGGAGGGGACTGGACTCGATGATCTTACAGGTCCCTTCCAGTCCTTCTTTCTATGATTCTATGCCAAGAAGGCAAAGGGAGATCACGTTGCCCAGAAACCGCTGAATAAGGAAGCACCAGGAGTTACAAGAATGGAGAAGACATAAGTGAAGGTGGCTGGATCCAATGGAGGATATATCAGTGTGAAATGTGAATGAGGTCACTGACAGCAGTGGGTAGGAACTGAATTTAAATCTCCAGCCAAAAGTTCACAGAGATGAGACGATGGAAACATAAAAAGATGACTACAAAACTTCAGTTCACGTAGGGCCAAGGAGAAGGAAGAACCAGAGCTTTACCCAAGGAAATGAGGGCTTGGAAATTCCTCAGCATCTGGTCCTGGTAAAGCACTTTGTCTTCATCTTCCAGCAGCTCCCACTCCTTCCGTGTGAAGTACACAGCTACGTCCTCAAACATCTCCTGGGGCTGCAGTCACAAGCATCATAGCATCAATGTCCCCTCTTCCAGCTGCTTCCAGCCCCCACAGCTCTATCTGGAGTCACTCTGTATTACAACTAATTACAGGCTTAGCCATAACAAGTAAGGGTTCAATATTCCCCAGTCGTCAGTTGACATGTGATGTGGATGCAGCTGTGGACATAGGAGTTCATGTATTGGCATTCACCCAGCTCATCACGTTTTATTTGCTCTGCCCTTTGGGGCAGTCTTGGCAGCACTTTTAGAGGCATGGAGACCTGGCTCCTTGCACTCTGACTAGGCTTTTCCATACCAGCACCCCTTGCTCTCTGCACTTGGGAGGAAGTTCCTGCTAATGTAGCTTGGTGTGTTTGCAGCCTCCATCCCATCACCACAGGCTTGACTTTCTTCAAGGCTCTCCACTCCCCACATTCTTTACACCACACCTGATTCCTCTTGCACTCTGCCCCAGTTGTACTCCCACCCCTGACTGGATGCGGTGTCCTGCTCACTCCCAAGTTCTCCCCCTGCTTTGGAGGCCTGCTCTGACCCTTCTGCATTTTGTGATGGGCAAGTTTGTTATTACCCTGAAATAAAATAGTTTTCTGATAGCATACTGTTAGGTTAACAATAATTTAGGTTATTGAGAAGTATTAGATTTGCAGCTGAATACAAGGCATGACCTGTGGCCTAGCAATGCTGCTGACCACAAGGCAGAATAATAGCTAAGCCAGCCATTTGCTTATGTTAAGTAATCATTTTAACTGTGTTAACCATTTTCTGAGTGAATTGCAGCAAGTGAATCTGTGTGTGCTGTAAACCAGCTACAGCAAAGAACAAGATAAGACAAAGAAGCCATTGTTCTAAGTACGTGATCGTGTCCTTAAGAAATACCTATTACTGTGCAAGTTTTTGCTAACGTATCATAATGTTACCGCTGTTTAACTTTAGCTTTTAGAAAAGTGCTAACTTAACAGAAATATGCTGTTATGAAGATTTGTAAAGCACCGCCCAAGTATTGTTTTTGTTAACCCTGTAGTCTTGCCTTATTGTAAAAAGTATAAAAGAACGCCCCACCCTTTAGGGGGGCCATTTTGCCTCTTTGCTGGCTTATGGTCTTTGCTCAAGCAAATAAACTGCAGTAAAGCTTTTACCCGTGTTTCCTGGTTCCTATGCAGCTAGACAATGAACTCCAGGGAGTTTTCTCCCACGACAATTTGGCCCGGTTCATGTGTCAGGGAGCCCCTCTTCTCCAAACTCCCTGGGGAAGTCCTGTGCAGCTCCAGGTTTACAGGCTTTTCTCCAGGAGGCTTCTGCTCAGCTCTCCTCAGGGTCCCAGAACCTGGGGAAGAGAATGCATAGGTGAGCCCTGGTGCTGCTGACACAGGGAAAGCCCTGCTAGTCTCCTGTACTGGCCTGGGACTGAGGCAGACAAAGGCTTAAGCGTGTGGAAGAGGTGAGAGAAGGAAGACTCAAAATCCCACAGCTCTTGCAAATAAACCTCTATAGGCATGAGGCTGAAGATGATCTGCAATAACTCTGGCCCAGTGTGGGGTAGCGATCACAGCACCATGTCAGAGCCTGCAGGGACCTCGCTTCTTGGGAATGCATCCACACGTTAAAGGTAGGGAGAGGGGAAATGCAAGGTCAGGCTTCTCCAGGGCATGTGAAATGCTTCCAGGGGCACTGGAAGACCAAGAAGCACTGACCAGTTGGAGCACTGACCCCATCAAATTATTCTGTCAGATTTCTCCATTGAGGGACAGTGCTTCATGCTGCTGGAAAGGGGAGGAACCACCGCTCTACCTGCTCCTGGGGAAGGGCCTTGTCTGGGGCACCAGCCTGAGGAGCTTTCATCTGCTAAGAAGTCCCAGGTCTCCTTGGTTTCAAGGGAATCTGCAGCAGGACAGAGGCCTGAGTTAGCTGTACCTGAAGCAGCCAGTGGCCACTGGGGAGTCTCATTTTCCATCACCTGCACCAGCCCCTTACGGGGACAGAGAGCTCACAGGGGCATGAGGAAGGGGCCAGTGAACTGACTGTTGGAATGTGAATTAGGTTATTGATTGTTATTGCGGCAGCACGACAAGCAACATAAAGCCCTCTGTGCTGGGTGCTGCACACAGGCAGTGAGCAGGACCAGGGACTCCCAGCCCAGAAGCCGCCCACCCATAGGGAGCAGAGTTCTGTCCCAGCCCAGTCACATGGTGTCCTAGGCAGGGGCAGACATTCGAACCTCTCCCCCTGCATGCAGGACAGACACTCAGGCACCCAGACCCACACTCAGGACATACATCTGGTACCTCACCTGACTCCTGGTGGTAGAGGGGCTTCAATCCAGGGACGTGAGGTGGCTTGTTCTGAGGACCCAGGGTTTCCCTCTCTCCAGACTCCTCCTGAGGCTTGTCTGCATGATGGGCCTTTAACTGCTCCAGCCAGGAATCACCAGGTTCCTGCAATGCCGCAGTAAGCTGCATGTTGTCTGAGGACACTTCCTCGACCTTTACACTCACTGTTCCCTGGGGACGGGATAAATGTGTCATTAGGGAACTGGGATCTGAGAGAGATGGGGCTGTGAGGGAGCATCCCCTAAGCACATGGAGACATGGACAGCAGCATCCATGATCAGGGTGAAAAGTTTTCACCTGGAGGTTTTCATTCTCTTCCTGTACTAGATGAAACCCCTCAGCTGGGTCCTCGGCATTGGCACAGGTCTCCACACAGCATCCCCACTCCCAGTTCTGCATCTCCTTGGGCAGGATGGCCAGGAGCTGCTCAGGCACCACCAGCTCCAGGATCTGCTCCTTTCTGGGGCTCCAGCCAGAGCTGGCAGAGCTCCTGCAGGTGCCTGCAAACCTCTCATGGCCTCCCGGATTCCAGGTAGAAGAGACCTTGGAAGCGTTGGCACCAAGTCTCTGAGGTGGGGTGGTCGTCTCCGGTGCCAGCTGTGGGATCTCTGAGGGAAGTGGCCTCAGAAGGGGGTTGCATGGCCTGCACTAGCTCCTGCCCCGAGACCTCCCGGCATTGGATCAGCTCCTCTTGCAGCTGCTGCTTTCTTGCAGGTGGTGCCGACCACCTTGGGGATCCACCCATCCCCCTTCTGCTCCCAAGCTGGACAACACAAGGAACTTATTCTGCCCAACAAGCTCCTGCCTGGAGACACCTGGGTCCTGCTCCTCCAGCGTCACCTCAGGCTGCAGCAGGGCTGTGAAGGGAAGAGCCACAGCTGCCATGGGCTCCAGCACAGCCACTGTCTCCCCCAGAGAGGCCTCCCCCAGCTGGGGCCTGGGTTTCCACTTTGCTGCGCTCATGCATGGTGCCTGCCCACAGTGTCTGGTCTCTGGGGCCCTGTGGGAAAGGAGACAGCACAGACATCACCACATGATGGGGGAACCAGGACCATGACCCTACCCCAGCCTCGAGGTCTGCGCAGCCCTGACGCCCCGACTATCCCCACTCAAAGCAGCCTTGGGGTTGTCTTCACTTCCCCACTTGCCCCACACAGGCTGCGGGGACCGGGCTGGCTCCAGAAACCCCAACCACAGCTCTCCCCCCACCCTCACGCCTGCCGCCTGGCACCCAGCGGGGCCCTGGTCCCCATCCCACGGTCCCTCCAGTGTCCCCACAGCGCTGACTCCCTTCCCCTGCGGCACCCACAGGGGACACAGCTCCCCCACTGCCCCCCAGACCCCACCCCTGGCCCACAGCCACGCGGTTGCACCACCGCCAGGTGGCCTCGGCCTGGGCAGCGTCTCTCAACAGCCCCAGACACGGGTGGAGCCTCCTGCTGCCATCTCGTGCGGCCTGTGCCCCGTGTGCTCCGCGGCCTCTCCAGTCAGTGCCCCCCACCTGCTATCCAGCCACCGCCCCGGCCCCTCCCCCCCGGCATCACACCCGCGACATCTCGTGACATCAGCGGCGCCTCCGGGGGCGCAGGTGCGGAGCCCCCGGGGTCGCCTAAGTCTTGCTGCTGGGCCTGGGGCAGCGGGCAAGGACGGGGGCTTCCCACCTGGAAACGTCCCTGGGACCCGTTGGGCACTGACCTGCTTCTCTCACCCGAGCAGGAGCTCTCGGGGCCCCGCATGGCTCGGCCCCGGTGCCAGGCGCTGGTCTGTCGGGCTGGGCTGGGTTGGGCAGGGCAGCGCTGCGGGGTGAATCTGGACAGCGGGGAAAACGTGGGATCTCCGCCATCCCAGAGCGGTGCTTGGTGCCGGGTGGGGCAGGGGCAGGGGTAGGAAAGACAGGCAAAGCCTGGGAGCTCGGAGTCAGAGAAGTGCCTTTTATTTCTGCCCCGACCCCCGGGAAGGGATGTTGCCATCTGCACAGGACAGAGCCGCGCAGAGACACTCCAGACTCGGGGCAGAAATGAAGTTTATTTTCTACCTACAGGGACTTTTTACCATTTTAATTTTCCCTGAGCCTGAGGACAGCCATGTGTCCCCAAGAGCATGCTTTCAGAAAAAGATAATTTTTTGGCAATTTTGTAGTTGGTCTCATGAAAGGGATCTTCTTTGAACCAAGAGCTCGAGAGCTTTGCATTGCTCTTTTGTCTCAGACCAACACGGCCACCAAACCCACCCCAGATATGTCTGGGTGCTCCCAGCGCTGGCGCTGGGCTCCTCAGTTGTGTTTGCAGGTGCACATCAGCCATTGCAATCTTGGGGGCCCTTCCCCAGGCACTGAGTTGCCCCCACTTTTCTTTCCTGGTGGAATTCATGGCATTAATAATGCTTAACATGGAAAAGTATCAGATTTTGCCTTTTGAAATGGCAACTTTACAACATGAGCAAGAAATAAACCAAATTGAATGCCCTGCCAGTCTCTGACACCTCCACGTGACGACTGCCACAGCCATGGTCTGCTCCTCATTTGCCTTCTCACTGAGCAGCTTTTGAAACCGGCTTTTCCACCTAGGAGAGCCCTTGCCAGCTCTCCTCTGCAAGATGAAGTTTCTCTCTTACCTGGGAGAAGTCTTGCCACCTTTGATTTCTCCTCTGCCTGATGAAGAGTGTGAGAGCCCAAAAGCTTGCAAAGAAAACTTTTTTTTCTTGCAACTATTTAGTTGGTAGAGTTGGGTAGAGGTGATATCTAATAAAAGATCTCACCTCTCCCCAAAGAATTGTCTGCCTCTATCACCTTTAACCCATTCTTCCCTAGGGCAGCAGAGGGTACAAGAAAGGGAAAATGAGGCAGGGAACAACCCCACAATTAACCCCAAACAACCCCTATTCTGGTCATGAGCCCAGGCACCCATGGATGTATCGCCTCGGCATGGCACAGGAGGATCGTCCTGTCCAAGTGTTCCTTGAGCCCAGGCACATATAGCCTTCCTTGCATTTTTTAAATTGATTTTATTGATCAGGTCCAAATCCATTTGAATCATCCAAGAACCATATGTGGCCCTGCTACCGGCAAGTATCTTCCACCCCTGCCTGGGGCTTCAAATTCTTCCAAATCTTTTGGCAGGCATCCTATGTACAGGCCCAAGACTGGGTTTGGATGCCCCCGAGTTTTACTTGCCCTCAGCCATACGGCCTCAGGAGCCAGCTAGAGAGGAGTCCCCCATTTCCATAAAGTTGCACGTAGCCGAGGTCCTACCACTGGATCTGGCCCATGGGAAGCTAACGATGAGGCTTTCATAGGGAGTCTTGGCTGCAAGCAGACAATGGTGCAGCCTTCCATTGCACAGGGCCATGTTAATTGCATCACCTTGGTCAAGGGATTTCCCCAGCCAGGGAAGTGTGCTGCATTGTCAGGCAGATGTTTGGACACAAAGGGCAGACGGAGGCATTAGAACTAGAGGAATACAAGGGGGGAAGGAGAGTTGGTGATGGCATGGGGTAGGCAGGTGTGGGATGGGCTCCTTAAAAAAAATGGCTAGACACAAGGAAAAAAGGGATTTTGAGAGTCCAACTCCAGTCACACAATCTATTGTTCTACAGGTGATGTTTGATCTGGGTTCCAAAGGGGCTGTGAGGTACCTTCAGCCTCCTGCTTGGTCCTGCCAGTACCCCACACCCTGACTCATTCTTCCTTGTGCCTTCCTACGCATGCAGGGAGTTTCCCCACAAATTGAATGGCCTCTTCATTGCCCAGAGGCCTTCTCAGGTGATGGAGAGCCTGCCTGGGTGAGGATCAGAGCCTGGGGAATGCTGCTGGAAGTGGTGGGAACAGAGCTGTCCCTAGGTGCCCCAGGCATATCAGCCTGTGCGGGGGCCAGGGGGTTGGGGGTGGCGAGCAGCCAGAGCTGGTGGAGTGGCGGGGAGTTAGGGCAGCCGCAGTGGGGCCTATGCAGCACCGACTCTGGGGTTCCCCAAAGCGTGGGGCCTGGGGCCGTTGCCCCAATTCGCCCCCTTCCCCACCAGAGATGGCCCTGGATTGGAATGGCTCCATTCCTTGCCCTGGATGGGGAGCCCAATCCCAACCAAGAGGCTCACATTCTGGTGCCTGCCTACTTCTCCCTGAAGGTGAATGCAGTGTGGCCGTGCTTTGGGGCACCCTGTGGAGCCAGGCGGAGTGGCTGTGGCGATTCCCCGCTGCCACTGGCTTCACATCTGGCTGCTTGGCACCCCCCACCACCGAATCTGATGCATCTGGCTGCTTGGCATGCACACCTCTCACCGCTGAATCCACCGCCAGCTTCCTCGCATCTGGGGCCGGGGCCTTGCACAGGTTGATTTGCCCCGGGCCCCACACCCTGCTCAGGTTGTCTCTGACCATGGGTGCTGAGCACAGGTCCTTTGCCCATGGCTGCACAGCCAGGGCAGAATTGTGAGGCCCTTGATAACCTCTTGTTACTGAAGAAGGTAGCTCGCTCAAATTAGAAATTTTTGATAGCCAGTAATGAGCAGGTTAATTAACTGGATTTTCCTGTCAATTATTGCTTGGGACTATCTCTTGATTTACACAACTAAAAGAATGCTTTGAAGATGCTAAGCTAAGGGTATAAAAAGGCAGTAAAACAGCAAACAGCATGCACGCTTCAAGAGTGAGAAATCTCTCTGACACCAGTTGTTGATGTGCCCAACTTACTTGAGAAGTTGAGGAGAAACAGACTGCCTCTTTGTCGCCTGTTTGGTGAAAATCATCACCTTTTAGCTAATTACTGGACTTTGATTTGGTTTGGGCTCACCTGACTTGATTTTGAATACTTGTAGCAAATAAAGCCTTTCTGCCACTCATCAAACGAGGTGCCGTGTCATTTCCTAGACTAGTCCAAAATCCTAGGTTTTTATTTGCTAACAGTGGGGATCCCATCTGCTGCATGCGTGAGCAGTCTCTGGTATGACAGTGGTCTGAAAGAGGGTGCTGGCCTGTATGGGGCTGCTCTCTTTAGCACCCTTTGCCACCCCTCCCTTTTGCTTCTTGAAAGTGCCCACATTCTCTGCAGGCAGCGAGGTCCCTGGGCCCTGCCCTGGCTGTGGGAAGGGCACTGTTTCCCAGTGGAGAGTGGCAATGTCCCTTGTGTTCAGGGGTGCAAGGCAAGCCTGCTGTCCTGGTGCTGGAGCTGGCAGACCTCCCAGGCCGGCCTGGACGAAATGCTCATGTTCCTGGGCAGTGGCGCCTGTAGTGTTACCAGATTTGCCCGTCACTTTGGGGTGTGCTCATTTATTAGGGGTACATTTCTGGGGATCTCCGTAATTCTGTCAATGTGCTGCTTGTGTTACTTGTGTTTCTATACAGAGCTGTATCTCTCCCTTCTGCAAATCCTCACCCCCAGTGGAGCTACCTTGCAGGACTCAGTTTCAATGGGGCTGGGTTC